CATATGGATATCTGACGATATTTAGGAAGAAATAATCACAACTACTGGAAACTAATTTAAAAAATTGCATAGCTCCTGTAAGTTTTTCTCTTTTTGGGGAAAGGATAGTGCTTATGTATTTACATTATTTGCACTGATTAATGTATCGCCTATAGCATTATCAATGTTATCAACATTGTTTGTAATAAACCAGAAAGTCAATTTAGGATTTGATCTAGCACTTGATAACATCAAATGCGAAACTCCCCACCAACTGAGTAATGTTAGATAAAGTTCTAACCACCGGATTCACATGTACTTAACTACAGGAACCTCTGTCAGTCACTCAACCGTTTCAGGAATTGCTTGAGTCTCTATAACATTGTGGCTTTCTGTAAATAGCAAGATAAAAGACCTGGTTAGGGAAGTAATCTCTCTCTCTGCAGATCTGTACAGGCCTATGTTTAAAAAGTTGCAAATAGCTCCGTACCCTTTGGCATACACAGTATAAAACTTGCATGACAGGTACTCTGCATTGTATAGCACTTTTTTACTGAACTGTGAGATACCTTTACCCTTCTGTAAAAACTTTACATATACTCCAAACCAGGCATAATTACTGGATTAAAAGTAAAAGAGATAATACAGTATGGTAGTTCTTTATATTCACTTCCATAATGTTCAACATTAATTTCAGTTTTGGTAGTGTTTTATTTTACCTTTATGCAATGGTAGGTACATGCACAGTGTTTTTCCTAAAGTCATTATCAGTGAAATAATCAATGAAGCTGATATTTGTATTGGCATAATTAAAAAGAATTCCTAATTGAGAAAGTTTAACACATGTTTTTTCAGTTCCTTGTAACTGATTATCCTTATATTTCACTTTAAAGGTTTTCTTTCAAGTTATGAAAAGAAACTTAGGTGATACTTATTTTTATTTAAAAAAAAACCCAAGTTTTAGTAGTTGATTTGGTGTTGGAAGAGATGACTACAGAACTCACAGCCTTGCTTATTATTTTTCATTTTCAGTTTCAAGTGAGATCATAGAAATGTTTCTCCTTCAGAAGTGGGGCTTCCATTTATATGATATTGACTGCCTTAGTCCCTTAACATGGCCATAACTTGTGTGTAAAACAAAACAAACTCTAATGATGTATGTTGAAAACCACCAACATTTTAAAATTCCCATTGAATCTGTGTCACTTGATTCTATGGGCTATTACTGTGTGCAGACTTGTATTAACAAGTGGTACTAGCCATTAAAAACATTAGCAAAGCTGAATTTAATCACTGTTAGCTTTATAGATTAGAAAGTATATTAAACTCTGTTGTGCAATGATTGCTTTTAGATTTTGCCCTTCTAAACACTTATTTTTAATTTTTACAGAACTCTGTGTGACTCCCATTTCAAAAGGAGGATTTGAAAAAGAGAAATCTGGATCATCTTCACTGATCAAGTTAAGGAGGTTAAAGAGTAATCTGTTTCATCGAAGTATGACTTTTGATATTTATATCCAGATGTCTTAGTTAATGCATGAAGAGTGTGTTTTTGTTTGTGTGCAAGATGAATGTTTAAAGAAGAAAATTTCGATGGAAAATGTACCTCTTTTAACTTCTTGTGTATTGAAATGATTGTAAAGTTATTAAAATTTATATTTGAGAATCTGACTCTTTTACAAATAACAAATTTATGGTATTGCTGTTCATTAAAACTCTAAAGATCTTAAAATAAAAATGATGGCTGATGATAAACTGGTATGGAGTAATTATACAACTAGCTTCAGTTAACATGCCTATTTCATATGCTTGCCATTTACAGCTAGTGTTATGCAATACAAGTTATAAAGAATATTCCAAGGCAAAGTAAGTTTAAATATCAAACAATATTAATTTAAATATTTGAATGTACTCTTTAGGCTATATGTTCACATGGCAGGGACGTGGGCAAGATGCCATCATAGTTCTCTTTTCTCATTCTGGTATGAGCACAACATCCAAAAAAGCTGAGTATTGCTGTATCTAGCTATATTTTCTTCAGAACAAGATCCTATACTTTTTAACACTCCTTGGTCCAAGTATTTTGGAAATCTGCAAATCCGAGTGTGAAGATAAATGTTGAGCAGTAAAGACATCCTTCTAAAGGCTGCTCTGTACAGGTGTCCTTGCTCCATTGTATCCCGTTCTTGATCAAAGGGCTTTTATTTGACCAAGCCTTCAGTGCTGCTCCAGTCTGCACTAAGGGAATAAGTCTTCGGTGGGTATGATACATCTCAGTAGCTGTAGCTGCCTGAAAGTTTGTCATCCAATCTAAAGTAATCAGTCCCTGAAGAGAGAGGAAAAAGGTAGGTAGTTCCAAAAGTGATTTCTTCCTGAGGTGTTTTGTGTGCTCAGAAGTCTGCTGGGAGGTCAACACGGAGTCCTCCAAATTTTCTAAACCTTTTAAGTATTGGTGGTTTTGTTGTAAATACTAGGAAAAAAAGTGAATTTACAATTTTTACAAAAGAAAACTAGAAATGCAAAAATAAAAATGGCTAAACAGGAAAGTATGCAGCTGCGATTTGATTTGGCACCAATTTTTCAAAAGCTTGCCTCATGCCTATCTTTTAGGTGCATTTCTAAAAATATTATAATTATATAGGTCATATACAAAAGAATTCTGGCTTCTGTCAGTGTCTTTTGTGAAATTAAAGAAAAATTTTCATCACACGGGGCTTTTGATGGGAAGTAATCTACAACGTGGCATGTTTAGAATGGTTTCATGAAGCAGTTGTTATTTCTGTAATTAGATTGACAGGTTGTTTTGTAAACAGTTCATAATGTAATGACAAATCATTGCTGCTTTTTTTTGTGCGTTCTTTTTCAGATAAAAGAGTAGTGGATACCATTGCTAACTCTGATGCTTACTTGGAGGACCTTTTCACAGATTATTATGAAAAAGCTGCAAGCATGACTGATCTCTCTACAAGTTATCTCAGAGAAGGGTCTCATATCCGAATTAATTTACTTAATAACAACATCCCCAAAGGTCCCTGTGTCCTTTGTGGAATGGGAAGTTCTAAAAGGGAGACAGTCTACGGATGCCTAGAGTGTTCTTTTAATGGACAAAAGTACGTACGACTGCATGCTGTGCCCTGTTTTGACCTCTGGCACAAGAGAGTAAAGTAACTAAGCTAATTAAGTGCCTGTTGTTGCAGACATGGGCATAACTGTGCCACAAACTTTTCAGAATTAGTAAATATGACTCAAATTGTTGAAATGCAAAATAGTGAAAGTGCAAAACATTTTATTACACTATTATCGTCAAATTATTTGCTTCACAGTCAATGACCTTTTACTTGAAAATGCCCTCATGCATTCTCTGACATTGCTGTTCTTCTTTCTAGAACCTTCTCTTTCATTATCATGATAATGAAAAAATGTACCTTAAAACTGTATTTTCATGTCAAAATATATGCTAGAACTTACTTTAAGTTGTTTACACAAACTTGTTAAACCCCAATATGTTGCCTTTATCTACACTGGCGTATGATGGTAAAATGAGAATATTTGTTAATAATTTAGTGTTCTCATGAATGTTTAATTGAAGTATCAGATTAAAAAACATGCTAAAACTTAGCTCAGTCTAATGTTTCATTTACAAAAGGGAACAACTAAAACTAGGGATAAGTGTTTCATATTACAATGCCATTACCACGTCAACAGTTTGTTTAGATAACTAAAAAGTACCAGCCAGTCCACCTTCTGCATTTGGATTTTAGGTCACAGCTGCTCTTGACTTTCTTTTGTGTTCAGAAAAAATTGCTTAGCAGAAAATGTTTTGGAAGCTTAGGAAAATAACAGAACTACATCCTTCCAACAAGACTTCAGGGGTGAAGGTCTTAACGACAGAAAATTAAGTCTGTGTTGTCAAGAATATAAACACCAGAGGGCACTACAGAATTGTGTCCAATACTGAGACTGGGCATGCGGCTGGTTACTGTCCTGTTGAAGCTCTCCCCATGCTATTTTAAACTGGGAAAGCAACTAAAAAATGTTTTTCTACCTTTTAGAATGATGATAAGGATAACCTAGGTATGGAAGCTTTTTTATTTGTGCTGCCACTTTCACTGTGTACATCTGATATTGCATGTTGAAATGAATACAGCCACTGCTTTTTACATGAGAAGAGTGAAGGATGTTACACAGACATTATGATGACACCTGCATAAGCAGAACAGTTAACTAGCCTGAAGTACTGTCTGTAACTATGGCTACTTCTTTGCATTTTTCCAAAGTGAGGAAAATTAGAATGATGCCCAAATAATTACTTATGCTTATACAGAGCATCTCCCATCATCTTTCACCTCATCCAAGTAAATCACGACAGTGTACATTTTTAACTTGGCGTTGCTGAATAAACTGAATAATTTTACTAAGTCAAAGTTTAAAAACCCACTTAAAATACTGCTTTTTCATGACCACCGAATTATTCATGTTAATATTACAGCAAAGAGGTTATTTTAAGTTGCTTTAAAAACACTTATGGTTTTATCTTGACATTCCATAAACACCGTTCATTTATTTTAAGGCCTTTTATAGTTAAATTTGCTGCAAATGGCAATTCTTCAAGAAGCTACCCTAGGAGCCTCCAGAGTTTTAACAGTTACCTTCCTGGGATTCTGTTTTCCCCTTTTCTTTTGCAGGGGATTGAGAAGTGTTCATCGGTTATGTTCTATGTCAACAGGTACTGGAACCATTTTTGTGTGCTTGATACAACAGAAAAAATTATTTTCATCAGTATTTTACACAATGAGAAAGACTACTGAGCAATACTGTAGATTAGGACATGATGCAAGAACCACTAATAATAGATCATGGTGTTTTCCAATTTTATTTCTTTCTTTTGAAATATCTAACACATTTTATTAGTTGAATCTTAAAAATAAGATTTTTACAGTCACCTTAAGAGATATAAAAAGATGCCACTATAAAAAAAATACAAGAAATTCTGTGACAAAGTATTATTATTTAAAATTCAGTGTACAGAAAACAGCCAAAGATTTTTTAAGTACTTAGAGTTCATCATGCTGGTAGACATTGTACTCCTTTGCTGATATGAAACCGTCTCCATCATGGTCATTCTTCTTAAATATATCAGCTAAGATTTCATCATGGACTGAGGGATGACGTTTTTTGCCATCTCTTGCAAATTCTTCTTTCAAATACTGGCTTATCTAGAAGAAAAGAAAAAAGTCCAGCCATTGTGGCTTTTATGCCAGTACTCAAACAGCTCTCTTCAAGGACACTTGGGGTATATATGTAAGTTATTGTGACTCCAGTGCAGACATGTCTGAAGTTTGTTTCCCAGCAAGTCTGAGACATATTAATGTATCAAAGTAAATTTCAACATTGCACAGTGTAGTTTGTGTAAGCATGCAGAAGCTTTACTTGATGAACCACAGCAGAGGCAGCTCATGTAAAGATAACACTGATGCAACTATACCTATAATTTTATAAATTATTTATTCCAGATTAGTTACATCATATTACCTCAAGTTCAGAGAGTTTCTTGTCACTGTCCTTGTCTATTTGATTAAATGCTTCAACACTGCGAGGTCCCTTATTTACTGCATAAAGTTCAATCTCAAAGATCAATGTTGCATTGGGTGGAATCTTACCCTGTGCTATGAATAAAAGAAAAAAAAGCATTTAAGAAATCAGACAATATAGCAGAGATCACACATATGATAAATTCATATGTAAAGCATCTTAATTTTTTATTACAAAGGCCGTGTTAATATTCAGATTAAACTCTGAATTTAAATATTATACAGCTAGACAGGAAGATCGTTCAGATTGTGCTAGATGAATGATTTTGAGAGAGATTTGCAAACAATATACTTCCCTGGAACAAAATTATATTGCTCCTATCAATTCAGGTACTTCTAAAAATTAAGAGAAGGGTTTGTGTTATGATGAAAAACAAGTATTTCTAAAGTTTTCACTCTTTCACATACTGTCATATGATGGGGCTTATTGAGAGACTGATTCTAAGACATATGCCTTTATTCAATATCTGCAATCTGATTTAAAAGATTACAGTAAGAGACCAATACTCATATGCATTTTCTGTCTGAAGAAACAAGCAGGCAATATCAGGTTTTACCAACTTACTATGAATTATACCTATGGTTAAAGGACTTGATGTAAAATAGTGTTTAAAAATATACATCTCATTAGAAAGAAGCAGTGGGATGCAAGTCATCTGATTCACAAAAAAAAATCCCCAAACTACTGGAATATTTTATCTGGTCTCTGAAGAAAAAAAAAAAGTTAGACTTCATTATTCCTGTGTCAAAGCGTTTTCTGATATCTGATGTAAAAACACCACTGCCTATCAACAGAGGTCTATCATGCATCTGGCAAAAAAAGGGAACTGAAGAGAGACAGTAACAAATTAATGAGGTCTAAAAGTAGTGCCAAAAAAGCATCAAGAAATCATGCAGTGTAAAATTAAAACATAAACATGCAAGATGCTTCTATTCATAGCCAAAGCCAGTGAACATGACATTGTAACCTCGGAATTTTGACAGAATTTTGAGCTTGTGCCCGTCCTTCATAAACTGAAGAAAAACTAAAGAATCTATTCTGTTTACCAACAGAAGGTAAACAAAACTATTACTCACACTACTCATCTAAAGTATCCATAGTAAAAATGACAGGTTTCAGAGTTCAAAAAATTTTAACCTTACAAGCTTTAAAAATGCAGAAGTTTTAAATATATCGGAATATAAATCGTGGTTTATGTACTACTTAGGAAAGAAAGATACAATACTAGAATTCAGTGCCAGTAGTTTACAAATATACATACCAACAGAGGAAAGATATGTAAAGATTTAGAAAGCCACATGCATCTTTTCTAATTCAAGATTAGGCAGGCATCTTCCCCAGCATGCAGGAATATGCTGACACAGAGGACAGGTATGCTGTAGGAAAATAATACTTTCTTGAAGTGCTACCTAGAACAAACAGTTAACACTAGTATTAGAGGTAAAGAACATACTTTTATTTGTGTCAGTGTTTTTACTTGTTGTTATGAGACTTACTTATTAAACATTATGCTCAAGGGTAAAAATTTATTCCTAGTAAACGTCACTGGCTACAATGGAACTGTACGAAAGACAAAACTGGTGCATGGAATTCTGACATAACATCACTACCAAACAATTATTACGGAGCAGGAGCTACCTTTTCACAGAAACTACTACACCCAAGTCAGAGATGAATTTAAGTTATCTACAATTAAGAGTGCTAAAACATTGCATAAAACTTTGACTGGATTTTTTTTTTAAGTAGACTGCACACTTTAGCATCCTAAATTCAAATCAGATTTCATGCATTGTACTGTTGCAATTATTATGTAATGTGATGATATCGTCCATTAACTATCCAGAATGTAAGCAGTATTTTAAACAAATTATTTCTACTTAGATTAATTCTGTGGCATGCACTGGATTACATTCCATTTTGCTCAGAAGATGCAGAATGTCGTTAAAAGGCTAAGCAGGGAGGAGTCAACTAATAGGAACTAAACATGAGTAGCATATAATAGATTAAGACAAAAAATGCTGATGTGAATCATGAAGATCTTTCTTTTGCTGTCAATTTTTTGTATTATGGAAATACTTGGAAAAACACATTGGGTGCCATGTACTGAATTCTAATGCAAACTGCCAGGCCTGGGTGTGGGTCTATGATGAGGACTGCTTAAACTGCATAGGAATGAGCAGGATTAGGCTGCACAGCTGCAGTCATCACCTCCATTGCCTCCAAAAATAATGGAGCACCAATTCTTAGTCATTTACAATACCGTACATTTGAAAGGACAAGAAAACAGAGGAAAGACAAAGTTTAGTATTAAAACTTCTTTATTACCGTATCCTTGCTGTCCGTATGCTAATGATGGCGGAATGATCACTTTCCGTTTTTCTCCAGGACACATATTCATCATAGCAATATCTAACCCTTTTATGACCTGTCCAACACCCAGAACGAACCATTTTGGATGACCTTCATTTTGAGTCCGACTATTAAAAAGAATTGTGAGTGGTTAACAGTGAATTTAGTATTTTACGCTTTTTTATATAAAAATAGCTTTAAGTTAACAGTCAGTAAAAATGTACAGTAGATTATTAGAACATAAGAATGTTTACAGTGCAAGAATACAAAGTATTAACACTGTTTTTCTGCTACAGTTATTAAAGGTCAAATCTTGAGATGTGTAAGGGGCAACCTCCTTTTGAAGTAAAAAAAAGTAAAAAACCAAACTTATTACAAAAACGTCCAATCTTCCTGATCATATACACTGCATGCCAGAAACAAGGTGCCAGTGCAGGAAGCCTGTGAGGAGCACCGAGACCAATTCACTGCTAGGAAGCAGAAATGTCTTCAGCAGTTCACATCGCTGTAGGATGGGATGGGACGGAGCATGCAGGGGTGTGTTGGGGGAACCTGGCAATCTTGGCTATAGTACTGTGTGCTCACCCACCACTCTGTTCAGTTTAGATATTCAGTGCTTGAGCCAGCTTGTGGTCATATGAGGTATCCCCAGTATGGGAGCTACACCGAACGGCGACTGAGCAGCATGTAGCTCAAAAGTCACAGGGCAACACTATATGTGCCAAAATCAGTCACTTCAACAGGCAAAAAAATGCAAGGAAAATGGTACTCTTAAATGTAGAATTTTCCTATACTGATTTTTTCTTAAATGATACAAGGTGGGGGGAATGAATCAAGATTTTGTCATAAACTAGGCTACTGTCTGATCTGTCCAAATATGGGTAAGGAATGAGCCGGGTACCTGAAGGAAAGAAAAGATTCCTCTCCATAGTTTTGCACAGGTGAGTCCTGCCTCACTAGTAGTATGCACCACCATTAAAAGCAAGGCACTGCGAAAATAAAGCTTTTGCACAACGGTTTCTGTGCAAAGCAAGCTAAACCAAGCTGAAACAGCCTGAAGACAGATGGATGGGACAAAGTGAAAAAGCAAAAGCCTAAATGCTAACAACTGGGGCAAAGAGGAAGGCAGCACAAATCGAGGATGGAAGCAGAGACAGGGAAGGGGCATAAACACTGCAAACCACTAGCGTAATGCAGTTGCCCTGCGCAATGCTAACTATGTAGAAGTGCATGCTATATTCAAGTTTGTCTAAAACAGGCAATCTGTGTCCCTCCCAGGAACTCCTCCTCCAAACTTGAGTTTTTCTGCACAGGTTACAGCACAGAACATGGCAGGTGATAACATGGCGGGTTTTCTTTCACCCTGCCCAAGGGGTTCTCCACGTGAGGTGTGGGCTACAAGCTCTCAGCGACCCTCCCAGTCTGTCCCCTTTGCTGGTGACAGCCACCAGTCTCAAGCCCAGCTTTGGTTTCCAGCTTACCTCAGCGCTGGTCCCTCTTGACCCTAGGTAAATCCTACATCCTTCAACACTCGGTTTTGGAAAAATAAAGGCTGAGATGGGGGGAAAATTACTAATCCTAACGTGGTTAGCATTGACCCCAAGCTGTGCCCACACTGGGAGAGCAGCGGGTCTCGCTTACCCAGCTGAGGGGGCATGGCGGGCCCCTTCAGCCGGGTAACCGGGACCCGCTGCTGCTGGGGGCGAGCAGGTTGTGCCACGTACACCGCCGGGCTCGGGCCCATCTTCCCTTCCACCCTACCCGGTGCCCTGGGGGCCCACCTGCAGTAAAACTTGGATCCGTCGCCGGCCAGGAAACCGTCGTAGTGCGCGTTCAGCAGATCCCCCTTCTTGCTCTTCGGGCTGCAGACCTCCGGGAGGTGCAGCACCTCTATTTTAACCTCCTCCGCCACCACCGCCGCCGCCGTGCCGCCTTCGGCCTGCGCCGGGCCCGCCAGCAGGACCAGCGGCAGGAGGAACAGGGTCAGCCCGCGGCCCATGTCGCTTCGAGGAGGCCGCCGGCGTGGCACTGTCCCCGCTGGGCCGAGGGGTGGGCGGGGGCGGGCGGGGGCAGGGGGGGGCCCG